CCACTCAATCACTCATTCACTCACTCAATCACTCATTCACTCATTAACTCACTCACCACTCTCACACTCAATCACTCACTCAATCACACACTCACTCACGCACTCACTAACCAACTCACTCACTCACCACTCACTCACCCACTCACTCACCAATCACTCACCCACTCACTCACTCACCCACAGGAAAGAACGAGTGGAGGTTGAAACTTTTATTTATTAAGGAACGTTAAGAAACACTCAGACACTCAGAAACACACAGACAGACACACACTCAGACACACACTCAGACACACACACTCAGACACACACACTCAGACACACAAATACACACACACTCACTCTCACACGCTCACTCACTCACACTCAGACACACACACTCAGACACACACACTCAGACACACACACAGACTCACACACTTATAAAACACATACACACATACATACGTAAATAAATACACATACACATACAAATAAATACACACACATACACACACACATACTCAAATAAATACACACATACACGCACTTACATACACACAAATAAATACACACATACACACAAATAAATACACACATACACACACTTACACACAAATATATACATGTAAATAAATACACACACATACATACACATATACACACATACATACGTAAACATATACACACATATACACACATACATACATAAACAGATACATATACACACATACATACACACACATACATACACACATACATACATATACACACATACACACACATACATACACACACATAAATACATACATATACACACTCACAAACACAACAACAACCGCCATTCGCCACTAAGTGGCGGTGACGTCACCACGACGCTTGTGCCAGGCCACGTGCACCTTAAGGCCACACACACACACATATATACACACAGACACATCCATACACACACACACATATACACACACGCACACACTCACTTCCATACACACACATTCACGTACACACACATACACACGTAAATAAATACACACACACTTACACACACACGTAAATAAATAGATACACACATACACACGTAAATTAATACACACACACTTACACACACATGCACACACATACACACGTAAATAAATACACACACACTTACACACATACACACGTAAATAAATACACACACACTTACACACACATTCACATACACACACTTACACACATACACACATAAATAAATACACACACACTTACACACACATTCACATACACACACTTACACACATACACAGGTAAATAAATACACACACACACTTACACACATTCACATACACACGTAAATAAATACACACACACTTACACACACATTGACATACACACGTAAATAAATACACACACACTTACACACACATTGACATACACGTAAATAAATACACACACACTTACACACACATTGACATACACACGTAAATAAATACACACACACTTACACATGCCACACACACACACGTAAATAAATACACACACGTAAATACACATACACTTACACACGTAAATAAATACATACACACTTACACACGTAAATAAATACATACACACTTACACACGTAAATAAAAACATACACACTTACACACGTAAATAAATACACACACTTACACACACATACACACACTTACACTCAAATAAATACACACATTTACGCACATACACACATAAATAAATACACACTCTTACACGCGTAAATACACACACACTTACACACACGCACACTTACACACACACATGCACACACATACACACGTAAATAAATACATACACACATACACACGTAAATAAATACACACACACTTACACACACATTCACATACACGTAAATAAATACACACTTACACACGTAAATAAATACACACATACACACACTTACACACATAAATAAATGCACACACACTTACACACACATTCACATACACACACTTACACACATACACACATAAATAAATACACACACACTTACACACGTAAATAAATACACACACTTACGCACATACACACGTAAATAAATACACACACACTTACACACACACAAACACACACACACTTACACACATGCACACACACATACACACTTACACACATGCACACACACACATACACACTTACACACATGCACACACACACATACACACACACACTTAAATACACACACATACACACACGCACACACATACACACGTAAATAAATACACACACACACAAATAAATTACACACACACTTACACAACAACAACCGCCATTCGCCACTAAGTGGCGGTGACGTCACCACGACGCTTGTGCCAGGCTATGTGCACCTTGAGGCTATCACGTGGAGTGTCGAACGCCCGCTGGCAGGAGGTCACGGGGCAGACCCAGCAGGTGCCACGGGTCGACTGACTGAGATCACTGAGATGAGTGGCTGATGCACCACCTGTGCCCGCTACTGTGCCAACCTGCTGTGCTTTAGCTACCCGGCGCTCCGCTCGTTGTTGTGAGCGTCGCTCCTCCGCCCTCCGTTGTTGTTGGAGGGCGACTGCCTCCAACTGCCAAGTAGCGGCGTCCTTCACGAGCCTCCTCCACAGAGGCCGATCTTGACACCGCTGGTACCGGTCATCGGCAAGTCCACTCAGCTCCACGTCCTCCTGTACCACATCACTCCATCTCTTCTCTAGCCCGTGCCCATTTAGCCCCCTCAATCCGGCCAAACAAAAGCTGTTTCGGCATGCGGTGGCTGGGCATGTGGGCTACATGACCCAGCCAACGCAGCCTTGCCTGCCGGAGGAGCTCACCGATGGGACCCTGCCCAGATCTTTCAAGGATTTGTGAGCTCCTCACACAATCCAGCCTGCAGGTTAAACCCAGGATGGATCGTTAGGCAGGCCAGCCTAAATGTTTCTAACCGGCAAAGATGTTCCATTAGGGGGGTCCACGTTTCGCAAGCGTAGAGAAGGGAGGGAATGACCGTGGCCGAGAAGACCTGAAGCTTAGTGCGGAGCGACAGACCAGGTAGCTTCCACACAGCGTTACGTAACCGATGAAAAGATATTGCCGCTCGACTGATTCGGAGTGAGATCTCTGCTGTTAAACTGGAGCCGGTCATAAGCACACTGCCCAGGTATGGGAAACTCTCCACTCTCTCCACAACTGCCCCATCACCGATTGGGAGTTGTGGGGGTGGAGTGTCCGATGGTACAAAATACCCAGGCAGGTGCTTAGTTTTGGTGGGGCTGATGGTAAGGCCCCACCTCTTAGTGGCACGCTCCAGTCTCAGCAGCAGCGTCTCCAACTCCTCCTCTGAGTGAGCAGCTATTACCAAATCATCGGTTAAAAATATCTAACACACACTTACACTTATACACACACACTTACACACTTACACACGCTGTATAAACACATATCCGATCAGAACATCAACAACCATGGTGTTGGTGATGATGGTGGTGGTGTTGGTGATGATGGTGGTGGTGATGGTGGTGATGTTGGTGGTGATGGTGGTGGTGATGTTGGTGGTGATGGTGGTGGTGATGTTGATGGTGATGTTGGTGATATTGGTGGTCATGTTGATGGTGATGTTGGTGATGTTGGTGATGTTGGTGGTGATGATAGTGGTGATGGTGATGATGGTGATGGTGGTGATGGTGATGATGGTGGTGGTGATGATGGTGGTGGTGATGGTGGTGATGTTGGTGGTGATGGTGGTGGTGATGTTGATGGTGATGTTGGTGATGTTGGTGGTGGTGATGATGATGATGTTGGTGATGGTGATGATGGTGATGTTGATGGTGATGTTGGTGGTGATGATGATGGTGATGTTGATGGTGATGTTGGTGGTGGTGATGGTGGTGATGTTGGTGGTGATGATGATGGTGATGTTGATGGTGATGTTGGTGGTGGTGATGGTGGTGATGATGGTGGTGGTGATGGTGATGTTGGTGATGGTGATGTTGATGATGGTGATGTTGATGGTGTAGGTGATGGTGTAGCTGATGGTGATGATGGTGATGATGTAGGTGATGTAGGTGATGGTGATGATGATGGTGATGTAGGTGATGGTGATGTTGATGTAGATGATGTTGTTGATGCTGATGTTTGTGATGGTGATGTAGGTGATGTTGGTGATGGTGATGATGGTGGTGATGATGGTGATGGTGGTGGTTGTGATGGTGATGTTGGTGATGGTGATGTTGATGTTGGTGGTGATGATGGTGATATTGATGGTGATGTTGATGTTGGTGGTGATGTTGGTGATGTTGATGGTGATGTTGGTGATGATGATGATGTTGATGATGTTGGTGATGTTGGTGATGTTGGTGATGCAGGTGATGTTGGTGATGTAGGTGATGGTGATGATGCAGGTGATGTTGGTGATGATGGTGATGTAGGTGATGGTGATGATGCAGGTGATGTTGGTGATGTTGGTGATGTAGGTGATGGTGATGATGCAGGTGATGTTGGTGATGGTGATGATGATGCAGGTGGTGATGTTGGTGATGTTGGTGATGTTGGTGATGATGGTGATGTTGATGATGTTGGTGATGTAGGTGATGGTGATGATGCAGGTGATGTTGGTGATGATGGTGATGTAGGTGATGGTGATGATGCAGGTGATGTTGGTGATGGTGATGATGATGCAGGTGGTGATGTTGGTGATGTTGGTGATGTTGGTGATGTTGATGGTGATGTTGATGGTGATGATGATGGTGATGTTGGTGATGTTGATGGTGTAGGTGATGTAGGTGATGTTGGTGATGGTGATGATGCAGGTGATGTTGTTGATGGTGATGATGATGCAGGTGGTGATGTTGGTGATGTTGGTGATGTTGGTGGTGTAGGTGATGTAGGTGATGATGTAGGTGATGGTGATGATGATGCAGGTGATGATGATGCAGGTGATGATGATGCAGGTGATGTTGGTGATGTTGGTGATGTTGATGTTGATGTTGGTGATGTTGATGGTGTAGGTGATGTAGGTGATGGTGATGATGTTGGTGATGGT